TCTGTTTTTACTGAGGAGATCTTGGCCATGGCAAATCAGAGGCAGGATCGTGAGATTTTAGCAAATATTATCTTCTTCCACATACTTCATTTAGTCTTAATAGTTTAGTAGCCAAACCAGAAACAAGCAGATTTTGAACAATGTGTCTTTTAGAATTCCCTCTCCCTATATTTTAACTTTTAAACTTTGTAATACCAACATTTTGTGTGGGTTTCATCTGTGTATAAGAAAAACAACAACTTTGTGGGCTCCAGATCTGTTCGTTGACCCGGTCCAAAGAAATTAGATGTGAATTTTGGCAATTGTGGGTGCTTGGTTTTGTTACTGAGCCCTTGTGCACCCAAAATCGCTGTTTTTGTGGTGTAGCTCTGGTGAGAAGGACGAGGCGTTGTCCCCCTCTGCTGGTGGTGCAGCGGGTTGGGGTTTGCTCACCTGCCAGCAAGCCCAGTTACTGTGTGTGCATATATGTATGTATGGGTATGTATAGATACACACTGGTCAGGGTTTTCAGTGGCCAGAGAAACCCTTTGCTCTGGGCAGTGCTCAAAAGGCTGTAACGCACGTGGAGGTACCCAGCAGCATCTCGAGAAGAGCCGTCCTACCTTAATAATGTGAATATTTTGCAGCGTGTGTCACAGAAATGCTGTTTCCAGCATGAGAGAGCGGCACTTAAGGCTCCTTTGTGCTCTGCGAATTGCTGAGCAGAAACGAGAGTCCGAGCTATTGCGCAAAACCAGAGAGCACTTTGGTGAAAAGGAGCAATTTTGATTTATGAACCTGCAGCAAGGCAAGGGTTTTATATTTCCTTTCACATTTTACAATGTCTGGACAATCTTTTTAATATTATGCCCACACAAACATTAAAAAGTATTGAGTTTCAGTTAAAAGATACGTCATTTAAAAGGGAGTGTTTTCAATTAGATTAAAGTGAATATCTTTAACCTTTTGCATTTAGTTTGTCTGTGCTGTGCAGAAATAATTACTGGCCTGACTGCATATTCCAGTAATCACACTCTCAATTACTTCTTCCCCATATTATTGCCAAGGGAACGCGTCTGGAAACTCAGCTTCAGCATTAAAATGGCACGGTTAGAGGGAATGTGTGATTTAATTGTAAATTGGATCAGACACGAGTTTAAATAGAGGCGCTGTCGTGCCTACTGTTGTAAAGAGATGGTTTTGATGTTTTCCCAGGTGGTAAGGATAAGCTGTAACTGTGGGTGGGAGTAGTTTTGCAACCCAGCTCCAGAATACCGAGGTTTGTGGTGTTAGATAAGGCTTATTAAATACAAAAATGGGCTCTTGGAAGGTGCCCTCCTGCTTGAAGGCACTGAAATGTTTAGTTGAAAATGTGAAGAAGGGAGTGACTTCACAAGCCACGAAGGAGGTAAAGCAAAGAAAGGAAAGCTCCTTTGGTGTCACAGCTAAGGGTGGCAATGAGTACGACACCGAACTGATGGTTTATGCTCTGAAAATACAGATAAAACGAGGAATAACCAAGGCTTTTCTCCTGGTTTTGTTTACATCTCAATCAGCGCACCCAGAGAGTCAAAAGAAGGCAGTGGACTTACACCAACTCCTCGATGCTTGTTATTACTGTCTCTGCTTGAGACTGGGTCTGGATCTCAGTTATATTGAAAGATTCCCTTGGATTGCAAATGGCACTTGGTCAGCCTGACCACAGATTTTGTGTCTCAAACTGTCCAAAGCCGTTCCTGACTATTTTATTTATTGTTTTTTCCTCAGCTAGGGTGAAGTTGCTGTAGGAGAGTGTGAAGATCATCCCTTTCGGTTGCGTAGAGAATCAGACAGACACATAAATGCAGGTGTGTTGGCTTTTGAGGTTTGCTTGTGTTTGTTTCTCAGCAGGAGGATTCATTTAATCTACTGTAGAATTGGTGGTTTGGGCTTTTGTTATTAATTAAGCTACAGCTTAGTGAAACATGAAACACAGACCCTATAATATCTGGAATATGTGCTCATCTATTGCCTTTTTACTCTTTCTGTTTAAGCACTGGGCATAAAATGCAACGTGTACTTTCTTTTGAGTCAAAGCTGTCTTGAATGCATTCTTGGCAGTCTAAAAGCTATTGCATTAAACCTACTTAGTGCTACTCTTTCCTTCTGGAGAGAGAGAGAGAGAGAGAAATAGCAATAAAAATAACTCCAGTAAAGCTATTTTCACCATGACACATTAAGTATCAGGAGTTTAAAAAACAAAGGGTGAGAGGAGAAAAACCTTATCAGCAATACTTAGCTGTTAAGGAGATTGTAAAAATAGAAGCTAGCTTTTTTTTTAAAGGAAATATAAATTGTATTGTTTATGTTATCAAGCCTCCAGTACTGTTTTTCAGCCAGTTAGGTGCTAAAGGATGTGAAAGTTATTCCTTTACAGTAAGAAGAGAAACCAAGAATAGTTGTGGGACCAGAAGAGAAGGGAATTACTTGGATCAGAGTTACCAGAAACAGAATAATCGTTACATTTCTCTTTTCACTTTTCCCCTCATTTGTGAAAAGTACCGAATTTCAATAATCAGGTCATCAAAAAAGACTTTGAGAAATGCTGCCAAGCCCATCATAGTATGCAGTAGCCTCATTAAACAATGGATTTGTGTTCTCACAGATATTCAAACTGTTCTTGACTTTTGCCTTAATGATTTGCCCTCCACTTTCAGTATCTAAACGTAAAAGAAGATTGCAAAGCCATGGCTTTCTGTGCGAAAATGAGGAGCACAAAGAAGAACGAAGCCAACCTGGAAGCTCAGCATCAGGGTTTAGAAATACTTTTCTACCTGCAAGATAAAAACCCTCTTTGTTACACCAGTGGCGAGTTCACTGCGGAGGAGCTGTGCATTGAAGCTGCCCAGAAGTGCTGTGAGTACACGGGTTTTTATTTAAATTCTCAGTGGCAAGGCCTGACATTGATGCATCCTTCCCTGCATTTGAATCTGTGTTCGTAGAAGAAGTATGCATGTTATGCAGTCTAGGGTGGAAACTTTTGCCAAGGGTCTGTTTGGGCAGTTCTTAAACTGCTTGAAGTGGAAGAAATGGTGAGATTCCTATAAAGGGAATTCCCACTCTGGTTTCTGGCAGATACAGGTGCTGATTTTTTAATTTGTGTGGCATGATTAGGTTTATTCAAAGAGAAGACACACCACATCCCAGTAAGTTAATGTTGATTTTACCTCATATACTAGTTGGTAAACCTGTCAGGAACTGTCCCATTGGAGAGGGCTAATGAAGAAAACACACCAAAACCTGTTTGCTGCTTTTCCAGCATTTGTTTTCTGTTTGTGACACTTCTTTGCAGAGAGTTCCAGTGTTTGTAGTGCTGATAAATCACCAGTTAAGATAACCTGAACTGGGCACAATTTCAGTAATACGTAAATGTACGGTGAAGATTTCTTGCTTTGTCACTGCGGTCCTTGACTCAGCAAAATATTTGCACGTGTATGTAATTGTACTGGAATTAGTGGATTTAATCTATGTTTGGGCCTCATGAACCAGTGTACTTTTGTACACTGGGAAAGTCCTTTCCCACCATGGTCCCAATTTGGTGTTCCTCAAGCTTCACAGAACACTAAATATTACTCAGCTGATATGGGAGTGATGAATCTGTCTGTATGAACAGGCAAACTGGGCATAAGTTTTCCTGCAATTTAAAATGTTTTCTTGGTTGTTATAACATTGAGTACCCTTCGGTTCCTTTGCCTAATTGCTTCTTTTCCATTGGAAAGGCAGGGATGATGGGAATCTGGAGGACAAACCTCATCAAATAAGTACTTATGTTGGTTTTTAATAGTCTTAATGAGAATAAGGAGTTTATGTGAGCATGGAAAAGCTGTGACGTGCTGGTGTGAACTCCCATACTGTGCAACTGCTCCCAGAAATTTGTGGTTGAAGCTTAAAACCTTTGAAGAAATGACTTCCTTCTGCCTTCTCTTGCTTTTCGCTAAGTCCACAGAACATGGCAGTGAAATGCAGAAGTCTTACCCATTCCAGCAGGCCTCTGATGCTGCTCTGTGTTGTAAATCACAACTTGAATTAAAGCACTGACGGCGTCTATGTGTGGTTTATTGACTTGCAGAAGGGGGCTTCATAACCCCACCTTGTGTGAACTTTGCAATTCGCCTGTTCAGTTTTCATTTCCTTGGCTTCTCTTCATCCCTTCTCCGCAGTATGAAATAGAAATGGTTTCACTGAGTCCTGCAGGAGCCCAACGAAGTGCTCTGCACCTTGGCCCAAATTTGAGAAGACGATTAAACATGCACTTCAGTGCTCTCTTACAAAAGTGCTGCCTCCCATGAAGCAGGAAAGTGAAGCAAGGAATTCAAATAACAGAGGCCCTGCACACATACCATGGCCTGTTTTTATCTGGGATAATGTAAATGCAAAGGTGGAAGCAGATCAGCCTGGACATACAAGTCAAAGTCTGGTCTTTGTTGGAAAACCCTCTGCTGAATTGGCAAAGAAAGGAAAAATGATACATTTTGCTTTTTGCTTGTTTGCTAATGAGACAAGGATTTTCATATTTCCCTAAAACCTTCTCTTACAGCTATGGGAGTAAAATGTATTAATAAAATGAAAGTGAGAACAAAGTTATGGTATTGTTGAGTGGTTTTGTTAAACCACCTATTTCTGTGATCTAGAAACAGTAAGGATTTTAAAGTAATTTCTTCTGAAGTTCAGACCTTTGGCAAAACCAGGATTTCAGAATAACTTTAGTGTTAGAAGTAGCTGAAATGATACGCTGCTTACTACACGATAAAACCAGTGGAGTCACCAGTGCACAGTTTGCAGTTCCACTTTAACTGTAACTTTCTTACTGTTTGTTTTAAACTAACCATAGTATCAGTTTCTTTTTATGGTCTACTTTACAAGATCAGCTCTTTGCTTTATGAGTTCATATTTTTGAGGTGTGCGTATGTATCCTAACCTTGTGATTCATACATTTGTTTGCTTTTCTCTGACAGCAATATCTCCTCTATGCCATAATCTCTTTGCGCTGTATGAGGAAAGGAAAAGGCTCTGGTATGCACCAAACCAGGTCTTTAAGATAGATGAAAAAACATCGCACCGGCTCCATTACCGAATGAGGTAAGCTCAAAATGTCTGAAAAATGATTCTTTACCATAAGTAGATGCTCTAAGTCTTACTAGTGAAGGAGCAGGAAAGCAAAAGCAAAAGCAGCAACTTTCTTTTCACAGCATAGATAGGAGATTAACGGGAAAAGCTTCAAATGATTAATTTTTTTAAATCTTGCTATCTAACCTTGAAAAAGAGCTCCAGAAGTTGAAAAACCACAAGAACCTGCATCCACGGTGCTGTGGGTGACTGCTGAAAGTTAAATTGTAAAGAATGGCTCAAAAGCTTTGATTTACTATGTCAGTATTTTGCTTGTTTTGATTTCCATTTGAAGTGTTCAAA